AATATGTAGGAGGATCCAAATTGTTTTCTTTATGAATTTGATTCTCTCAGTATTAGGATAATTGTTGCTAATCATTCCCAAAAAGTTATTACAAGCCCTTTGCCAATATTCTTTATCTTTCCATTTTCTTTAACTAACCTCATTAGTTAAAGGTACTGTAATTTCTGCTGGGTCCCTTCCTGTCAACTGACAAAGTCTTAATTTGCCTTTTAATGTCAAATCAGAGATCTTTTCTATACATGGTTTTAGTTTTTTATTTTTGTTTGTGTGGTAGAAATATCCATTCTTATATGTTATCTTCCCTCTGCATCAAAATACCTGAGGGGTATTCTCTAGATGATAATATAACCAGAATACAGTCCAGTTTTGGAGCCACATGGTCCACATGTGATTCTAATATTCTCTTTTCTACCCATTGTAACTCTTTTTCAGCTTCAGCTGATAAAATTCGTGGACTATTTGAGTCCTTGTCCCCTTTTAGGACCATTTTTAAGTTTTTCAAATCATGACCTTTAACTCCAATAATTGTCTGTAGTTGAGAAATCTCTCCCAGTAATTTTTTAAGATCATTAGTAGTCTGGTAATGTTTTCTCCTGATCTCCAGTTTTTGAGGTCTAATTTTTTGTAGACTTATTTTATAACCTAAATAATTGATAGAACATCCTCCTTGTATTCTTTTGGGGGCAATCTGTAGTCCCCAGTGAGGTAAAACTTCATTTACTGTCTCAAATATCTTTTCCAATTTTTCTTTCTTAGTCAGTCAATAATATATCATCCATATAATGGTAAATGATGGATTGTGGAAATTGTTTAAGAATTATTTCCAAAGGTTTTTCCAGAAAATATTGGCACAGGTTGAGACTAACAGTCTCAGTATCAAGACCTTTCATTGATATCTTTTAACCAGCTGAGAACTGTTGGCACTGTGAAGGCAAATTTTTCCCTATCTTTTTCTTGTAAAGGTATAGTGAAGAAGCAATCTTTTAAATCAATGACTATAGTAGGTCTTTCTTTAGGTATTAGAGAAGGCAAGGACATCCCGGGCTATAGAGAGCCCATCAGTTGAATTACTTTATTGATGACTCTCCATTTACCAGATTTCTTTTGGATAACAAATACAGGAAAATTCCAAGGGCTTGTAGATACTTCAATATGTGCAGCATTTAGCTGTTCCTGAACCAGCTTTTCTAAAGCCTCTAGCTTCTCAGAGGTCATAGGCCATTGCCCTACCGAGACAGGTTTATCTCTTAGCTATTTTAAGCATAGGGCTTTTGGTTCCTCTGTAGGTTTGGTACTTGTATTCTGTTTATGTACAACCTGAATGGTTGGTATTTATTTTCTGTAGTGTCTTATGATATTTTTCTACCACCAAGAAGTTGTTTATGATTCATATCTGATACTGGAGGAATGTTAATCTGGGTGTACCATTGCTGTAATAGATCACAACCCCACAGATTTATCGCTATGTCAGCTACATATGGCCTCAGCCTTCCTCTTTGCCCTTCTGGCCCTATACATTCAACCCGTCTTGTACTCTGTTTTACCTGAGATAGGGTTCTAATCCCTAAGAATTGAACATTTGCCTCTTGCAGGGGCCATCTTGGAGGCCAAGATTTTTGATTTATAATGGTCACATCATTTCATATGTCAAGTATCCCCTCAATCACCCTGTTACTCATTTGTACTCTTAATTTAGGCCTTTGATCATTGATAGAAGTTTGCCAAAATATACATGTTTTGTTTCCTCCATTTATATTTGATTCAGTCTCCATAACTAATCTATTATTTAGAGCTGTATGATTTAATCATCCTGGGGAAGATTGTCCTCCACAGTGACTGGGAAGGACTGAATCACTTTCAATGTGTGGGCCTTCAAGATGCCCCCCAAGGAGTTTCCTGATTGTATAGGGTTTCCTTGCTTGTCTCTGGTCAATCTATATTCATTGGTCCAGTGTCAGCCTTTGCTACATCTTCTACATAATCCAGAAGGTTGAGGCCTTCTGTTTGAGACATTCCTAGAAGGAGCATTATTTCTAGGAATGCTTTGCTAACAGTTTCTTCTTAGATGCCCTATTCTACCAGAGTTAAACATCTGGCATTTTCAAACCTTTGGAGATCACTTCTTCAACCCAAGCTTCAGTGTCGTAATCACTATACTCAGTGATGGCTGTATACAGGACCCATTCATACAATGGTGCTGATATTACCTTTAAGGTCCAAAGCACCTTTTTGCATTGTGGATTTGCATTCTCATAAGTTAGGGATTCTATGAGAATTTGTCTATAATCTGAATCTGTTACCTATAATTCAATTGGTCTGGACAATCTTTGCAAGAATTCAGTGAACTGTTCTTTTGGTCCCTGTATCACTTTGGTATAGGGTTTTGTTCTCTCTCCTGGTTCAGTGACCTTATCCCAAGCATTCAAAGCTGTACAGCATAGAGTTAAGATGTGTTCATCATATGCAGCTTGAGTCTCTGGGTCTGCATAAAGTCCTTCACCAAGGACCTTATCTTGGGGAGCTTTATAACCTTTCTTTAAGCCCTGAAATTCGAGGGCTTTTGCTTCTTTCCTCCATAAAACCCTCCATTGTATTTGAGATGAATTTTCAAGTACAGCTGATATTAGTTGGCCACAATCCTTAGGGGTCACTCTATTAGTCCTTGCCCATGAGTCCACCAGTTTTCTCACATAAGACAAGTAAATGCCATAAGAGACCACGGCTTCTTTCAGGTCCTTCATCTGTATGGGCTCCCACTGATATGCAACAATGCCTGTCAGGTATTTTTTTGTTGCTGGTTTTTCATAGCCACTGGGAGAGCCATAGGAGAAGGCATAATGACCTTAGGAAAGTCTTTCTGGCACCTGAAAAGTGTAGCTAATTTTAAATCTTTTTCATGACCTAGTATTCTGATGTATCGGATTGAAGGTCTTCTAAGGCCTGTAATCCATTCACCATTGTTTCTCTGAGTGTTTGAACTTTCTGGACCATATAAGTTTCTAAAGATTTCATAGAATCAATCAAAATTTTTGTTCTCTTCATTTATATATGATTTTAAACATTTAATATTCTCATCCTTAGATATTATCTGATTGGCATGTAAACTGCCTTCCAGAAACAGTGTTCTATCTGCTATCTTGTCATTAGTCTCAGACATGGAACAAATTCTTTCCATTAGTATTTCAATATTATGTTCCACTTTTTGTATTCTGTCTGTTGAATCAGTAGATATGGAACACGTTTTTTTCTGAAAGTAATTTAATGCTATGTTCCGCATTTTGTATTCTGTTTCTTGGGTCTTCATTATCATTTTGAATATTCTGAATCTTTTTTACCAAATTTTCCTTACCAGTGTGTAAGGAATTTTCTGTTGTCTTAATCCTTCTTACTAAGTTTTTCCCTTCAGTCTGTAAGGAATTTTCTATTAAACAAATACCTTTTAGCAAATTTTTCTATTGTTAAGAGCTCTCTTATCAGTCAGTGAAGTATTTTCTATTGTCTGAGGTTTTTTGTTTGTTTGTTTGTTTTGTTTTTTCTTTTTTTTTGGTTTTTCAAGACAAGGTTTCTCTGTATCGTCCAGGCTGTCCTGGAACTCGCTCTGTAGACCAGGCTGGCCTTAAACTCACAGAGATCTTGTTCCTCTGCCTCCCAAGTGCTGGGACTAAAAGCATGCTCCACCAGCACCCAGTATGTCTGAATTCTTTGTAGTAGGTTTTCATTACCAGTCTGTGATGACTGTATGATTTGTGTAAGTTCCTCATTTTTTGGACCTATTTTTCAAACCATTTCTCTAGTGATATTATATGGATTACCAAACTGATAGCCACTACAGCAGATAGAATGTATGTTCCAGGTAGGTCCTCAACCTCTTCTAATATCTCATCCACACAAGAAACAAAAAAAAATTCCTAATGTCCTGCATTGTAATATTATCTGCCACAAGTATAGAGTAGTTAATCTTTTTTATTACTATTAGTTTAAAATACAAAGGATGCAGTACTTACTTTCAGCAGAAATCTGGTGTTTTTTCATCTCGATGACTTTTTTTTTTAACTGTTAGTAACTATGTTTGGCCAGCAGGTGGCGCGGGGTGAATCCGGTGGCAAGATGCTCTCAGTCTGGATTGTTTCTAGTTTGTTAAGATTCTGTAAATTCTAACCAAAACTTTTAGCAAACCCAAATCAAGTGAAATATTTTCAGAAAAGGGGAAATACGAGGTTCGTACTCGTGGGGACCCACAGGCCCCAGGAACTGCAAGAATAAATCATCAGTGTTAGCACACACGTGTATGCAAGCTGGGCTGCTTGGACAGCATTGGCTCACAGCTGAGCAGTTTGGCGGGGGGCAAGAGGTGCTTGCTGTCAGTCCCCAGCGGAAAAAGCGGCAGGGGCAGATCACGATTGATTAGATCAAAGTTCAAACTGCCCAGCTGGCATATGGGTTCCTGAGGGCGAGTTCTGCAGCCAGAGGGCAGCAGCGAACCAGGTGTTGGCTGGGGGATGGGAGCTGTGGAAGGTAGCCCTCTGTAGGTCAGTGGATTTGCCCACGGGGGCAAAATATTCCACTTCTGACACCAGATGTCGTGTGTGGGAATCAAGATTCGCTAGTCCCAGTACAGGTTAAATGGTTTTTTCAGAGCCCGGCGCTGGTGGCGCACGCCTTAATCCCAGCACTCTAGAGGCAGAGGCAGGTGGATCTCTGTGAGTTTGAGGCCAGCCTGGTCTACTAAGGGAGTTCCGGGACAGCCTCCAAAACAATACAGAGAAGCCCTGTCTCGAAACAAACAAACAAACAAACAAAGGTTTATTCGGAGAGATAACACTTACATAAGAGGCAGGTGGCTGTTCCAGGTTCCAGCTCCAAGGATTCTCCTAGGATGTCCTCTGGGCCGGGCCAGCAGCCAGAGAGAGAGCGCCCCTCCTGTACATACCTGTGACCACAGATGTAGTCAGCGCGGTCAGCGTCGTAGGTGCATAGTTAGATCTCTTGCTACAATTGAATCCACTTGTGTTTATTACATAAACAGCGGTTAGAGCACATCCATCAGAGGTATACATTCATTGATCCATTAATAAGTCACTGTCTAGGCGGAGGTGAGGACAAGCGAGGGGTGCACAGGGTCCTGTGTTGTGTCACTTTGGTGAAAGCGAGGTCTCATGGAGACTTTCAGGAAGAGGCCACCTCCAGTGTGAGGTACAAAGGATGGACACCATTCACTAGGACAGCTTGCTACTGCTGTAGGTATGAGAGAGCACACAAAGCTGTACTATATTTTAGTAGGACCCATCTATGCAAGACCTTTTAAAATACGTATTTGATTTTATGTGTACGCCTGTGAACGTTTCCCTTAGTGTGTGCATGTGCATCACTTGGGTGCAGTACCCATGGAGGCCAGAAGAGGCATTGCATCCCCTTGGATTTAGTAGATGAATGTGAGCTGCCTTATGGGCGCTGGGAATTGAACTCTGGTCCTCTGGAAGGACAGCCAGTGCTTTTAACCACTGAGCCATCTCTCCAGTCCCAACATATAAAATCTTGTTTAAAGTTTACTGGTAGCATTTGTAGGAATATGTGAGTTGCTATTTGCCAATCTTTTCTCTTATTCTTCTACTTTTAAACTGAGTATTGCTGGGTCACACACTCTTTCAGAGCTAACTAAAAACATGTGTCAGTATCTACACCAAGCAAGTCTTGACAAGGGAGAGGCAAATTGTAATCTTTAGTGGGCTGCAGTTAGGAGGAAAGCAAATTTAGCTTGACAGTCAGACATTTTATAATTCTTTTCGGCTTAAGGCAATTAAAATACATTTCCAAATACCAGATAACTTCAACATAAGCAAAATGGAATTTTAAAGATAATTCCAAACTCTTTCCAGTAATTCACTTACTTCTGTTTGTTAGTACAAATATCAGAAATACGTATGATCTCAATGTACTTTGAACATGAAAGTGTGAAATGAGAGTGTATTTTAAAATATGAAAAATGATGCCTGGCAGATGGCTCGGTGGACATGGTCTGCAAGAATGAAGACCTGCGTTTAACACCCAAGAACCCACATAAAAGCCAGGCATGGTTGTGTGCACCTGTACCTGTAGCAATTTGGGGATAGAGACAAGCATATCCTCAGAGCTCACTAGCCAGAAAGTAAGTTTGCGCTTCAGTTAGAGACCCTGTCTCAAGGAAATATAGCAAAAAACACTGAGGAAGACATTGTATATCCTGCCCTGGTCTCTTATGTATGTGTCTAGTCACACACACACACACACATGTGCAAGGAACACATACAAACACACACCACTCACTCACACACACACATATACATACCACACACACAAATATATACATCATGCACACCACATGTACATACGGTACACACATACCACACACACCACAAAACACACTAAACATGTAAAAAATGTCTGATGCATTATAGGATGATTTGTTTTATGATGGCAACCCCAAAAGGCTCACAAATTCTTTGCTAATGTACAAAAATATTTTGTCAAAAAAGGAGAAAATGTAAAAAAGCAATTATGGAGAAACATTTTTCAATATTTTCCTGTTTCCTGGAGAGTTTACCATGGGCCTCTGGGGAGAAAAGGGATCATTGGTCATCATGACTGTTAACTGGGAACAGTGGTTATCATGACTGTGAACTAGGGACATTGGTCATCATGACTGTTAACTGGGAACAGTGGTTATCACGACTGTGAAATGGGACATTGGTTATCATGACTGTGAAATAGGGACATTGGTTATTGTGATTCTGAAATGGGAACACTGGTTATCATGACTAACAATCTGAGGCAGCAAAGTGATTTTCAAGGAGAAATTTGGGGGCATCTTCTCGCTACAAAGACTCTGAACTTTTTAAGTTTGTGATGCTATCTATCATCTATAATTAGAGCAACAACTGAGACTACTTTTTGTTTATTTTACTTCCAAGGCCTTCAAGATCTTTCTGCCATGCATGAAGTCACACACTAAATCAAGTTTGGGAGTCTGAAAGGGGGATGGAGCTCTTTCTTGCCCAGGCTGGGAGAGCTGATGTCAGGTAATCAGGGCAGGACAACTTTAAGGCTTCTTACTGAGTCTAGACCCTAACCTCTCTTTTCCTAGGGCTGGTTATAAATTTTTTTCTCAAGTCTTTGAGATATATGGGAATCTAAAACCAAACCAAAACCAACCAAACAAACAGAAAAAAAAAAACCTCTTGCTAGGGGTGGAGAGATGGTTTAGCACACTTTTAAGCTCTTCAGTTCTGATCACGCATTTTGGGTGAGACTCACAACCTCCTGTGACGCTGATCCAGGGGCGTCTGAGCCCTCTGGACTCTGCAGACACCTGCATATGTGTGCACACACCCATGCAGAAACAAACATATGGAAAATTGAAAATAATAAAGATAAATCTTGTACAACAAAACAACCCAGCTTTTTGACTGGTGTGACAGTTATTCTCAGCTGTCTACTTGATTGGATTGAGACATGCTTAGTGGATTGATTAGTGAAGTAACTTTGGGTGTGTCTCTAGTGGCTTTGCCAGAGACACCAGTCCTGAGTCTTTGACCTAATCAATGGATTAATCCCTCTATGGGTACCTAGCAGGAGGTGGTGAAGGAAGGAGGTGGGCCCAGCTGAAGGAAGTGTGTGACTCTGATGTCAGCTGGGAGACGGATCTTGCCTTGGACACTTGGTATTATTTTTCTTCCTCTGCTTCCAGGTTGCTGTGATGTTCCTGGAGGGTCAGGATAAAAAATGCAATAATTTCTTAAATTTTATTTTGTACTTTGAAATTATATACATTTATGCCTATGTGTGGGTATGTCCCTGTGAGTGCAGATGCCTCAGAGGCCAGAAGAGGGCGTCAGATTTCCAGGAATTGAGTTGTGAGCCATCCCATGTGGCTACTAGGATGTGAACTCAGGTCCTCTAGAGGAGCAGCCCATTCTCTTAACCACCCAGTATCCCCTCCAGCCCCAGATAACTTCATATTTATGATATAATAGAAACAGATTTGAAAATTAGGCAAAAAGAGATTCTGGTACTAAAAGGCTAGTATGAATGAATGCAAGAAGGTGTGGAGCCTATCAGAGAACAAGCGGAAGTCCCAGGGTTTAGGGAGGCCCTCTCCTGGCCGCTCAGAGCAGGGTCATTTCTCACAGACTGTTTCCCAGATGCAGGGGAGGGTGGAACAAACGTGGATAAGAAGATCTTCTCTGAGAAATCTGACTCAGCAGTGCCCAGACACGGAGGGAATGGAGAGAGGGGTGTGGACCGCTATGGGAGAAGACATAGAACTGCTCCAAATAAGAAAACACCTTGTTGATTTCACTTTACTCTCTGGTGGGAGAGAAAATCTGGTCATGTCAGGCAGGAGGCACTCAGATGAGATGAAAGAAGAGGGGAAAAACACGGTATCCCAGAAATGAGAGATGTCAAGTTAGTAGGGAACAAACAGAAATCAGATAAAGCAACAGACAAAAGTGGAGACAAACGAGCTCTCCCTTCCCTTTGATGCTGGGGATCCGTCCCAAGGCCTCAGGTTTTTGCCTCTGAGCTGCATTCCCCACTGAGGAGCAGGTCTTCTGACAGAGGCCAAGGAGAACAGTAGCTGGGATTACTTTTGTAGTTTCTTGTCACTATGCTACAGACTCAACAATGGGACCCAAACAATCCACCAAACCCAAACCAAATGCCCAGTGATGATAGGGGAGGCCTTCTGTATGCTGTGACTATGTTTCTCTTATTGATTTAATAAAATGCTGATTGACCAGTAGCCAGACAGGAAGTACAGGTGGGACTACCAGACGAGGAGAATGCTGGGAAGAGGAAGGCAAAGGGAAACAGCCAGGGATACACCGTGTAGCTTCAGGGAGGGTAGGAAGCCCGGGCATTCCCGGGTAAGATAAAGTCATGTGGAAATACACTGATTAATAGAAATGGGTTAATAACTAAGAGAGAGCTAGCCAGTAATAAGCCTGAGCCATTGGTCAAACAGTTTATAATTAATACAAGCGGTGGTGTATTTATTTGGGACTAAAGGGCTGCAGGACCTGGTGGGACAGAAGGTCCGTCTACACTGTATCCCCCCTCCCCCCATATTAGTTACTTTTCTGTTGCTGTGATGAAGGTGACTTGTGGAAGAACTTATCTGGGCTTATCATCCCTGAGGGATGCGGCCTGTGATGGCAGAATGAGGAGTGGTGGTGGGATTGGGAAGCTGAGGGGTCACACCCTGAGCTGACAAGGAATAGGGATGTGGGGGGAGGTAGAATAGCCTGAGGCTATCGTCTCAAGTGACACACTTACTCTGACAAGGCCCTACTTCCTAAACCCCACCAAACAGCACCATTTCCAGGGAGCTAAGTATCCAAATTCCTGAGACTGTGGGGAGGTGGGCATCTCAATAAAACAACCACACCTCAATTTGAAGAATAGAAGTGGCTGAGGAAGGCCAATCCTGTTGCTGTCCCTGGGGACCATGTGAGGTTGTTTGAATTACCTGCACAGAATTAAGGGAAGTCTAGGATTGGGCAGAGAGCCAGGCTGTGGGTCATGTAACAAAACACTTAAAGACAGCAGCCCCATTTTGCTGACAGCACGGATGGAAGCTTGCTTTTCCCCAAACCTGAGCATGAAGCTGGAGACTATGATCCAAACCTCTGCACACCAAAGGAGTCCAGGAGAGGTCACTGACAGTCTGTGGATGGAGCATCAGACCTGGGTCATAAAAGAATACCCACTTGACTGGAATTTAACCAATGGACTGACTTCTTAAACCTTTTGGTGATTTTTTTTGTCTGTACAAAAAAAAGCAAGAGTTTGGGCCTGGAGAGGGGTCTCAGCAGTTTCGAGCATGGGCTACTCTTGCAGAGGGCATGGGTTCATTTCCCAGTACCCACATGATGGCTCATAACCAGATCCTAGGGATCTGATGCCCATTTCTGGCCTGTACAGCATAGGCCTGCCCATGGTGCACAGATATGCATGCAGTCAGACAGTCATACACATAAAATAATAAAAAAGTATATGAAGAAAATAGTTTTGACTTGTTTCATAATAGTTACCAGTCTATGGCCATATCACCCTGAACATACCCAATCTTGTATGATCTCAGAAACTAAGCAGGGAAAGAAATAGAAACCCAGGCAGCCAGGGTATGCACTTTTAATCCCAGCTTGCAGAAGGCAGAAGGCAGAGGCAGGCAGGTTCCTGAGTTTGAGGCCAGCCTAGACAGAGTGAGTTCACCAGAGCTACAGAGAGAGACCCTGTCTCAGAAAATAAAAAATAAAGCTGCCACTTTAGTCACCTTTATATATGAGACAAACTTTTCCATTTTCTCAAGGAAGCCTGTGTTAGCTAGTTTTATTATCAGCAAGACACAAACTAGTCACCTGGAAGAGAGAACCTCAGCTGAAGTACTGTCTAGACCTGATTGGCCTAGTGGTTTGTCTGAAGGTCCTTTCCATGATTTCTTGATGTGGGAAGATGGAGCCCATTTTGGGAGACACCATCCCTGTCTGGGTAAGTGGGCTTGGACTGTCTAAGAAGCCAGCTGACAGATCTGAGAGAAAGCCAGTGAACAGCTTTCTCCCAGGTTCACGTCTCTGCTTCATCTTGAGTTCCTACCCTGACTTCCCTCAGTGACAAACTGTCACCTGCAAATGTCAAGTAAACTCTTTTCTCCCCAGATTGCTTTTGGTCATGGCACTCATCATATGAGAGGAAGGCAAGGCAGAACAGATGTGTAATTTAAAGGAGTATACGCCTATAGAGAAATGACTGCTTCTCCAAGTCACTTGCAGGGTGCGATGCCCAGACCCACCCTTCCAGGGCCGTCATCTTCCAAGATTGCTTCCAAGGGAAGGAGGGGAGCAGACAGCCAGCCTGACACACAAATAGCTTTTGGTAGACATTTGTGACACTTACTATTGAAAGAGAATGAATAGACATTTGTGACACTTACTACTGAAAGAGAATGAATGTGTAAGAAGCTTCAGTTGAGGTAGAACCCTCCCCCACTCCCCCCCTCAAGCGAGATATGAGCAACGTGACTCTGGAGACTGTTGGGATTGTGGTTAATCCTGCTTCCTGACTTTGAATACATACCACAAATGCAGGACTAAATGTAATGGTATGGTGACATTTTGTTTATGATCTAACAAATAAAGTTTGTCTGAAGATCAGAGTGCAGAGCTAAGCCACTTAGTTAGCCACACATCTAGTTAAGAGCTAAGCCACTTAGTTATCCACACACACACTAAGCCACTAGTTAGCCATAGGGGACAGGCAGGGGTGGTACACACCTTTAATCCCAGCACTGGGGAGACAGAGGCAGATGGATCTCTATGAGTTCAAGGCCACCTTGGGCTACATGAGTCAATCAATCTAAAGAGAAACAAAGCCCACACCTTTGATCCCAGTAATTGGGATGACGATGCCTTTAATCCCAGCACTAGAGGAATATAAGGCAGGAGCTCAGTGCAGTCTCAGTACAGTCTGAGGTTTGGAGAGCACGGCAGTCATTCTGAGTACAGGATACCCCCTCTTTGGTCTTAGCCTTGGTAGACGTAAGAACTTGCTAGTGACTTGGCTGCTTTACTTTTCTGATCTTTAGCTTGAACCCCATTATCTGTCTCTGGGTTTTTATCATTTGTGCTACACAATGGGCTCACACCTTGTGAGAACAAAACTAAAATCATAAACACAGCAGAGAACTGGAGAATGCTGGAAAACTTCTTACCTGTGGCAGGTGAGGATGGCAGGGGAGTTGTCTCCAAAGCCATGCCCTCCCTGAACAAAACAAGCATGGGGACTTTATGAAGGTATGTGTATCACATAGGCAGTGCTTTAGAAACAGGGTCTTGAGCATGCTCAGTTAAATAGTGTACTCTGAACCCACTCAGCTCAAGATCTAAAGAAAAATGAAGGACACATCCTTGGACACACTTAGCTCAGGATGGCACTACGCACGTTCAAGAATGTGTGGACTCATCTCAGAAAATTTTGTTCAGGGAAAAAAAGAGGATGTTTTGGAGGTATATCAATATGGCAGTTTGCTCCTAGAGGTTGCCTTGCTTAGTAGCTATCAGAGTGAGAGGTGGATTTAACCTCAATGCTACCAACAGCAGGGCAAGCAGATCCAACAGCCAGAAGACCACTCGTGCTGAGAAACAGTCAGGGTAAAGTGGCTAGTGAAGGAGAAACACAGCCTGTTAGGAAGCTGCGGTCAGGAGGCCACCGGTATCCATGGGAGGAGGAGGAGGTGGTGGTGGTTGTTGTTGCTTTTTATTTTTATGTTTTGTTTTATGACAGGTCAGAGGCCTAGAGAGTCTGAAGCTAACCCTAGGACTGTGCACTCATTACTTTAACATTCCATCCATTCTCCTCGCCTGTTCTTGCCCTTACTGGCTAAAGGTCAGAGGAGGCAAGGAGAGACACAGCAGGGAGGTAAGAAGACAGAGAGCAGGGAAGCCAGTGAGAAGCCAGCCTCTGTCAACATAGCACGGAACACTCAGGACGTTACCAAACTTTTCAGTCAACAGTGAGGTCTTGGTTCCTACCTTGGGTTGAACTGCTCCCACCTCTGTGTTTCAGCCACGTGACTGGAAAGTCATTTCAGATGCACAGTGAAAAGGGTGTTGTGATGGTTTCCCGTGCATTTTTCACATGGTGACGGGAAATTCTCTTCCCATTGAAATGGAAAACCCCAAAGATGGTGTTTCCATGCTGCCT